ATGGAGTTTTTTTTCTAAATAACAGTTTTTAGCATAACAAAACTATGAAAGCTGTAGGTCCAATTTGGCTGAGGACACGGACAAGGACAAGATTTGTCATTTTCAAAAGTGTTTTTAATAAATTAAAAAATATCTGAGAACCTAATGAATGACATATTCCTTTACAGAACAACTCACAGAAATCAACCATCAGTCAGTTTTAGACATTTTTTGGATGTAATACTTTTTATTCACTGTAACAAGTCAAGGACAGATAATGTACATTTCTGGTAGAATGTCCCAGATATAAAGCAGTTGTTCCAGAGTCGTTCCTCTCTGACAGTGTTTCTGATTTGTCAACATTAATATTAATCTCTTGGTGAAATGATGGCTGGTTCTTGATCATCATTTTCAATGAAAGATTCTCTGTCTGCTGGTTAGACAGAACTTCACATTAACATCAGCTGCTAGTTTATACTGGTTAGTGGTTAAGCTTCAGCTCATGGTGTTCTTCAGTGTGTTTGGTCTTCAGACAGACAAAGAAAGAAGAAGAAATGGTGTTTGTTGTAAACAGTAATCTCACATTCCTTCCGCTGTGTTCAGATGTGGAAGCAGATCATGAAATGTTCTCAGGGTTGTTTGGTTTGTGTTCATATCCGTTATCAGGAACAAAATGTATTTATTGTGTTTGTCCTTCTGATCTCCTGCAAGAATCGAGCGTACACTTACTGAGTCCATTAGAGACTGACAACTCTACACTTTTAACTTTACATTTGATGTCCCTTTAATCGTTACTGCTCTGCTCATCTTCATCCATCCTTTAGCTTCATCAGAATCTGATCAGTGCGTCACTAAGGTTTGTTCACAGCTGTGTTTGATTGTGCTGCATGTGTTTCTGTCACGCAGGTGTGATGTGTTTCACATTCACAGTGAGGCATGTCAATTAAAAGTGTAATATGTACTAACAAATAAAGCAGTGTTATGATGGAGATGAATATGAAGATGACCCAGTGTTTCTCTGGTGTTTCGTGGCTGACTCCTGCTGGTCAAACTGAACACTGTTCATCTGAGATCATTCAGTCTGATCTCTCTTCTCTGATTATTGCTGCTTGTTTATTGACAGTGACACGAGGACACAAGAATCATGAATCTGAAAGTTTGATGTAATAATATAATAATCACACACCTTCAGAATGAGAGCATGTTTGTGCAGTTTGCAGTTGATTTCACACAAAACATCTGATGCTCCTGCTGTCAGATATCATTAGCTCTTCTTCTTCACTGAATCCTGTTGATGCATAGATTAATTCCTATGCATTCGCTATTTCCTATTTCACTCCCTGTTTAACAGTTTTTCAGGTTTTTATTGAGGTTAGTTGTTGAAGTTTGGTTGGTAGAGGTTGGTTTGGTTGATAAAACCTTTCATATCTTCATTAGTTTTAATGCTGACAAACACAAACTGAAGTATGAGGTTAATAACAGAAACAACAAATCACACATCATTATTCTGAGTAGAATGAATGTTCTGAGCTGCATGTTTAGCCAAAGAAATAACATACATTGTGATCTACAGGCATCTAAATGGTGTATATTATTGGCTGTTTTTAAAATGTTTGATCTGGTATTTTTATCTACTGCTCTAATTTATATGATTGATGGAAGGATATTGGCCGTACATTTTATGTGCATCATATTTGAGACAGATTCCTGGTTTATTTCTAGGATGAACTTTGGATCTGGTAAAGCAATGAGCCAGTGTCTTGTGACCCGGTCTGTGAAATCCAGGCTAAAGTCTCAAAATGTATTTATGAGATAACAAGCATTGAAGTTTGATTTCAACCATTTATTTCACCATGATTTTAATCTTTGACATGGCTATACTCAGTCAATACTAAAGATATCAAAATCACATTATCACAGAATGTTATTTACCTTATGAAGTATGATTTTATGTAGAAAACAGTAAATCACACACACACACACACTCTCTCTCACACACACACACACACACACACTCTCTCTCACACACACACACACACTCTCTCTCTCTCTCTCACACACACACCAGTTTCACTCTGGCCAGTTTCAGTTTTAATGACAAACAAATGTGTGAACAATGGTGAGTGATATTTAATTGTCTCTAATTGAACTGATTAGCCGCAAAACAAGCCATAGCAATTAGTAAAAGAACAGAAATTATAGATGCGTCATAATAAAATTGATATATATACAGTATATAAAGAGTTTATTTGCAAAAACAAATTAGATTTTCAAAAATCATGTTTTTATTATATTATCATGTTCTTATTGTGTTTTATTGTGTTAGTTAGCTGTATTCTTTTAGTTATTTTTACTTAATCAAAATAACACAACTGAAGTTTGATTGAGATTAATTGAAATGCACAATGAAAAAACATGATATTTGAAAATTTTTATTATATATATACACAGGTATATATATAATGAAATATCATTTAATGTTATGTCATTAATTGTAGATTACATGTTACAGTTTTTTACGATTGCTTAAGCACAATTTTGAAAACAGGGCCCGGTTTGTCAGAACACTACACAATTAACACAACCCTACACCAAAGTAGCACAACACTTCAGATCATTTGCAAAATGGAACAATAAAATTTATATATATATATATATATAAAGAGTTTATTTGCAAAAACAAATAACTAGATTTTCAAAAATCATGTTTTTATTATATTATCATGTTCTTATTGTGTTTTATTGTGTTAGTTAGCTGTATTCTTTTAGTTATTTTTAAACACAACTGAAGTTTGATTGAGATTAATTGAAATGCACAATGAAAAAACATGATATTTGAAAATTTTTATTATATATATACAGGTATATATATAATTAAATATCATTTAATGTTATTTCATTAATTGTAGATTACATGTTAATAGACGACCCTGCAGGAGGTTTGCAGTGTTATTGTGATGCTCGTTGTGTCCAGCAGGTGTCGCAGGTGTCCCGCGGTCCGAGCACGACGTGGATTGTGCGCATGCGCAGAGACTCCTGAAGAATTTCTGGAGTGACTTTTATTTCCGAGTGATTGAGTGTTTAACATTCGCAGTTCGGCCGCTGAGAGC